TTTTTCGCTGTTTTGACCGTTTTTTCACCCAATGGGTTCACCTAATGGTGAAAAAACGGCCAAAACCGCGAAAAATCGATAAAAAGGAAAGAAATAAGTCAAAAATTTTGCGAAAATATTTATTGTTGGGTTACGGTAGCACTCGTTTGCCGGCTGTGTTTTCGAAAATTCTCCTTGAAATACGGTGGCCTAACTTGTGTGAAAATTCGGCCACAACTCCAATTTTTTTGCACAAGAATAATACTGTATCATATATCAAAAAACTAGAATTAAAAATTATTTAAAAACTAGAAAATTTTCATGTCTGGCCTACTTTAATGTATATAAAAAGTGTTGTGTGTGTGTGTTAAGTGTTAAAGGAGGCGAGACAGCAAAAATTTCGGGGGACAGTTCGGGGGACGAAATCGCGCCGCGCTTATGTAGACCATCGGTCGTCAGGCGCCTTCGCGCTGCCGTAGCTCAGCCGGTAGCAGCGCTGTACCCCTGAGCTGCCTGTCATGAGTTCAACCCCTCATGGGGGTTCTCTATGCAAAATATCAGGTAAACTTTTTTTTTTGGTGTCTGGCCTCCTTTATGTTAAGTGTTAAGTGTTGAGTGTTGTTAAGTGTGAATTTGTCAGCTATTTTTCTATAATAAAATCGAAGTCTAGGCTAATTTTGAATCATTTAGAGAAAAAAATTAGAAAAAACTTCCACTCGAGTGTCTTGATTTTTATGAAACTTGTATTAACTCCTCAGAAAACAGCGAATTTGTAACAAATCTTGCATTTTCATATGTTAAAAAAACATCATATACAAAAGTTAGGTTGTCCCAACACACGCAGCTTCCGAGCTAGCTTCAGCCGTCTTCCGGTCATCTTCCCGTGTTCCTTGACTTCCTGTCGCATTCTGTGATTGGACCGGGTTGATCCTTGCTGATGATGATCCATGCTGCCCTGGATCTTTCCGATTTTTTACGAATTAATCAATTTCAGTTTTTTTTCAATTTTGTCTCGGAATCATGGAATCTCATAATTTCTGAATCTGAGATTCTAAAATTCTGAGATTCTGTTTGAGATTCTGAAATTCAAAAATTATGAGATTCTGAGATTCTGAATATCAGAGATTCTGAAATTCTGAGATTCTGAGATTCGAAGTTTATATTTTTCCTATAATTCTGAAATTCTAGGTGTCCTGATAATCTATGCCGATGATTCTGTTGATTTAGGTTCACACGTTTTGCAAGACAGGGGCTTTATAAGATGGTGAAATCAACGAGAAGTCAGAGTTGTAACGAGGTTCCAGGGCAGCGGGGATCATCATCATCAAGAATCGACCCGGGTTCATCACCAAGAAGCAACCACAAGTGCGAACAATTTGGTCTAATCACGGTCCAATGACGGAATGCGACAGGAAATCAAGGAAGACAGAACAATAACCGGATGACGGCTGCTCGGAGAATCTCGGAATTTCAAAACTTCTCGAATTTTAAAAAATTTAGGATCTCAAAATCTCATCTGAGAATCTGATAATTTCAGAATTTCAGAACTTCAGAATTTCAGGATATCAGAATCTCAGAAGTTAAAAGCAATCAGAATCTTAAAATCTCAGAATCTCTGAAGTTCTGAATTTCAGAATTTCAGAATTTCGGAATCTCAGAATCTCTGCATTTCAGAATTTCAGAATCTCAAAATCTCAGAATCTCGGAATCTCAGAATTTCAGAATATCAGAATATCAGAATATCAGAATCTCAGAATCTCAGAATCTCAGAATCTCTGAATTTCAGAATTTCGGAATCTCAGAATGTCAGAATCTCAGAATCTCAGAATTTCAGAATCTCAGAATCTCAGAATCTCAGAATCTCAGAATCTCAGAATCTCAGAATCTCAGTAGGTCATATCTACTCATTTTAAAGCTCCAAATGAGTCAAGTTCAAAATTACAAGAATGGGTTTTTATAGTTCTGAAAAATGAGAAATGTCTAATTCGTAACTCGTAACTCGTATATTCACCCGATAGTGCAGAGTTAAAGATGTGTGTTCCAGGAAAAGTTCCAAATAATGACAGATGTGAATTAACATAGCTTGTGTATATCTTTTCCGCTTTGTCAATTAATAAACAGTTTTTCGTAAATAGATCTTTACAGGGTGCGGCAAAAGTACTGTTACAAAAAGTTTGACTCAAGCTAGCGCGCGCTGACTCACTTTTCATATCTTGATTTTTTGTTTATATTCTTCCCCATCTCTTCATTAGTAGATTTGCAAAGTTTCATATCCATATCTCAATTTTTACAAAGATGGCATTACTTTCTGTACACCTCATTTGATTTTTTCACTGTTTTTGGCAAATCTAGACGGGCTAGAATGTGTACCAGGATTACTGTTTATGGTGAAAATAATGTTGTCTATTGTCGGATTAAAAAAAAGTAACACCTGAAAATCTCGGAGACGGCGCTCGTGTCGATTTACGAGGGGGCGGAGCGAAAACGGATACTGTAGATAACAAATTCATTTATGTGAATTTAGTGGGATTTTCTGAACAAAATTTTGACTTCTTGGTATAAAAATGATCGCCAGCATCTCTAGAATCTATTTTTCAGCAAAAAACTAAACTTAAAGTAGTTCGAACGAGCCGAAATTCTGAAATATTACGTTTTTGCCGCACTTTTTCGTAGATCAAAAAAAGCAACAGTTTTCAAATTCTCAGGTGTCACTTTTTTAATTCGACAATAAGTCATCGTGCCATAAAGCTTGCCAAATTAGAGTACCCAAAAAGATGTAGAAACTGCTCGTACTGAAAAACGTGTTCAGCCGAAAGTGTCAAAATCAATTGTTCCAACCTGGGGCCGTATTCATGAAATTTACTTTTGTAAATCATTTACTCTCAAAAAATCAACTGAATCATTTACCGAAAGGTAAATGGCAGCGTGCAAATGTACTGAAAATGGTTTTCCTATTTGTAAATAGTTTTCCTGTTTTTTAGATAGGAAAACGACTTTGAACTAGAATTTCTCAACTACTTTAAACTGAAAAATGTTCATTTTTTGACACCTTACTTTAAATTGAATGCTCTTTCATTCATGTCATTTGTATCAAAAGTCATAATTTTCGAGTTGAACTGAAACGAAATATCTGTTTAAAGTTAGATAATATCGATGTTACAATACTATTCTTTCCATACATAACTTTTTTGGAATGAAAAGCTTCCAAAAAGTGGTTGTAAACAGCAAACGAAATTGGTACCCCTATTCACCAAAAAGAGAAGTATTTACCACAAAGTAAATGATTTCTCTTAAATTTTCACGTTTTTCAGTTGATTTTTGAGAGTAAATGATTTACAAAAGTAAATGTTCATGAATACGGCCCCTGGTCCCCCAAAAAGGATGGCTTGTCTCTAGTCAGATCACAATCCAATGGGGATTTCCGTGCCGGGAACTTTTAAAACACATGTTCATGTTTGTTTTCACAGAATTTTGGGTGCTCTCTGAAATAGCAGTTGTGTGGAATGGGACAATTTGCCGGCAGACTACCCTCGTGCCGCCATAGATGCTAACCGAAAAGGTTAAGCTCCCCCATCAGTAACTGAGCTACCAGACACGAACAATTATGATCTGATTTTATCAAAAATCTCTTTGATAAAGTCCTGTCAAAATTTGACCCGGATTGGACTTTTTTCCGAGAAGTTATGACGTCTTCTTTTTGCAACAGAACTTTTGCCGCACCCTGTAGAAGGCCAATTCTATGATGTCTTCAAAAATCAACTTTCGTCATTGCAGGATCTTCTTCAGATCGACCTTTTCAATATCCTGAGATTTCAGTCCAAGAAGCAAAAGCTCTAAATGAATTGGATGTCTAGAATCTATTCTGAACATCCCTCGTTTTTCCAGAATTCTCAGTTCTTTTTGTCTTTTAATACCATTGAATTGTCATTCACATTCTGTCATGTTTTCAATTTGCTCAATGACTCTTCCGCTATTATGCTCACGGATGTTCACATCGAAATAGCAGGCGAATTTCAGAGTGTTCCGCATCTACCGTAGTCGTGTTTTCGACTTACTATACATATAAAGTGGACGTCGAAAATTGGAATTACAAAGCTCTTTTTGTCTCTCTTCTTCCTTCATTTCCACCACCTCCAACACCCCAAATTTGTGTTGCCGTTTTCCCTTCATTCGTGTAGTCGACAAAAAATTCGATTGTGGGAGACAGCACAACAGAAGCATTGTTTTTGAAATGAAGCCGCAATTGAATACATATTCAAATGTTATACGAAATTGGCAGAATTCGTCGAAGTGTGTGTCTGTGTTCAAAACAATTTGTCGTTTTTTTTTGTTTGATGTGTGTAAAAAACAAAATTCATTGTGTTCAAAAAATGGAGGTGGCTAGTGAAGCGTGTGTTTTCACATCTATGCAATTTCAGCATTTTCCGAAAATTTTAGATTTTTCTTTTCAGACAACAGATTATTTCGATAAGATATGTTAACAATAAGATGTGACAACTTGAACAGAAGTCTGGAAAATTCTATAAGAGAACAAGTAATCAGAAAACAGTTGATAATACAATCATCGAGTCATCGTTTATCTGAAAACGTTCCAAAACATTATTGACCTGAAACTGTATAGTATAGGAAGGAACTATAAATCAACTGATCGTGTAATACCGTACAACCTGTAATAGAAGGGCCCCCACACTGTCAACTTTGAGCCAGTATATCTCGATTCCTGTAAAATATATCAGAACGCGGTTAATGGAAATTTGTTTCATTTTATGATGAGAATTTTGCCAGTTGATCATTTTTCATATCTTTTATAGGAACCAATATAAATAGGACTGTTTACGGTATCTTCCTATTTTTTTTTAAGTTTAAGATAGTTTTCTTGCCTCCTGTGAGAGATATCAAAAATGTGTCAACTAATAAAATGTCTATGATATTATGATAAACAATTTATCTGTTAACAACTTTTTCATATTATTGACAGGTGTCGAGATAAACTGACTCAAAGTTTCACGTTAGGTGCCCTCTATTACAGCAGTTACGGTATCTTGCCAGCTAGTTCTGTATGGTTATAGGATAGAATTCTTAATTCTGAAACGTCTTTCAAGCTCGCTCGATCTGCAACCCAACCCCTACATTGTTCAAGACAAATACAATTGTTTATTTTTCAATCTTTCGAAAGTATTCCGAAGTTTCAAACGTCTCAATTTCAGCCAAACATTCTGGAAATTCCTTGGTCCCTGAAAAAAGAAGTCAGTTGATACTAGAAGAAGTTGAGATGATATCTGCTGAAAGTCTTTGTGTACATGTGATCCTTACGTCTCAGGGCGACAAACAGTCGGGATAGAAGTCGAAAAGTTTGTGCACACACGCTCTCACTGATTTCCAGCCAATCTGAAACACACGTCAGCTGGTTTTTCCTTTCTTTTGTCTTTCTTTCGTTTTGTTCGTTCCTGTTACTGATGTTAATTGTCTCAATCGTCAGCAGAGCAGGCGGTGATATATACCACACACTACTAACTTTCTGAAAACACTTCTGAAAACACTTCCTAGTCTCGAAGAACGCCGATCAGAAATCTTCCAGAGAATTGGGGGTGATGTCTGCTGACACATACACCTTGAACACAATCGAGTTGGCGACACGCAAAAAACTTGAAAAACAAGGAAACGTGGAGTTGACACCTTATTACGCAAGTGTGTCTCAGCCGGATCCCCTATTCAATAATTCATTTTTGAACATGGAGATATATATTCGGAACGACTTCCTAAAAAAAAGAAGGAATAGAGGATACAAGATGACGTCACGGCCTTGTATGAAAGTGCTCGGTGTTAATTTGTTGGGTCCTGTGCACATGAGTACCCTTTCAAATTTATTATCAAATTTCGGAATTATCAAAATCTAACAGTAATTCCTATTACCGGTAACTCATATCGAAGCTACAAATAAACCTACGAAAATTCATTTTTCTGTTCCTTGTTCGCTTTTGGTCACATCGAAAATCCCTCAATCTCTGAATCATTCATTTGGAAGTCTGATCAAGTAAAAAGGTCTCCAAAACGAAACTTTGTTTTCTTCTTAATTGCAGTTGACACAATTTGTTTTCGTAGACACTCTCGAAGAATGATTATTCCCTTCTTTCTTCGAAAAAGTTGCTCTTTTCCTAGTCGAGAGTTTGCAATATCAGGAGTAGACTTTATTATGAGTACAAGTTAATCACGCAGTCATATCGTTGTTAGGTAGAGCTATTAACAGAAAATACACCTATTCTAACACCAATCCACTCTTCGTTATTTTTCTCAGAAAATATACAAGTGTTCTGTGTGTGACTTGTGATAAAGAAAACAGATTGGATATGTGTAAACATGACTTTTTTGATAAAGGAGTGAGAAAAAGTAGATTATATGTGAACGTAAAATCTCTGGGAAAATCCGTTTCAGCTGAAAATAAAGAATATATATTTTCAAATAAGAAACAAAACTTTTGTTTCAAAAATAACTTTTTGATTCATCCGAAAAAAGGTGAGGAGCGGAGCGCCAGAGAGGATAGTAAAACATTGGAGAGCTTCTGTTCTCTTAAGTGGAACAGAAACATCTGGAACATCATCAAAGATGCCGGATTGACGCTACTTGACACCAGGGATGTTTGGAACGGAATTCGGAATTTCGACCAAATTATTTCCGAAGCTATTTTTGGACTCAGAGGTTTTTGGACTACGGTATGTCAAACGCGCACTCTAAAAGTTTTCTTGCGGGTCTCGAGTGGAAATACTATTAATTTTTTTCCGTTTTCAGAAACTTTTTTGTAAATTTTTTACCATTTTTCGCGGGGGAA